GTGTGTGTGTGTGTGTGTGTGAGAGAGAGAGAGAGAGAGAGAGAGAGAGAGAGAGAGAGAGAGAGAGAGCATTCAGCGATCCCATGCACCCCTTTCCACTGATTTGCGGGTGAGAGTGAATTGTCCAATTTGGCTGTAGCTTATAAGTTATAACCCCCTAGTTGCCAACCAATGGACCACAAACATCCTGTGGTGTTTTGCTAAATCACTTCAGAATTGCTTCCTCCTCTACCCTACCCTCCTTGGCTGAAGAACTAAATGAAGGTAATGCTAGGTCCTACCTAAGGTACACCGTACAGGCCAACCCTAACCAAGGCCAGCCCTAACCAAGGCCAACCCTAACTAAGGACGATTTGGAGTCTCAAAATCGATAACCGCAGTTAGGGTGTGGTTATGTTCTACCTGCGCAAGTAGGACCTAACCACACCCTAACGGCGGCTATCGGAGAGTCCAAGCCATCTGAGCACACTCTTGGTCGAAGGGCATGTTCGAGGAGCGCTGACTGTTGAGTTTAGTGAGGGGGAGGAAGGGGAGGAGGAGAAGGAGTGGTTGGAGATTTTTCAGCCGATGGTTTGGGTGTGATCAAACTTTGTCGACGGGATGACGACAGGATGACGTGAAGGATGGAGTCAACTTTTTCACCGGAGGAAAGCGGGAATGATGAGATCATCTTATTTGTCATGGGTGGGCAACTCAAGAATTAGGGAACAACTGTCTTCCCGCGAGTATGGAACGTAAGCCGTCGTAAGGTTATTGCAGCCGTATTTGGCTCACCTTTCAGTCCATATGCATACGAAAATGACCGTATGTGCTATTTGGGGGAAGAAGGTAGCTTTGGGGGGGGGGGGGGGGGTAAGGGGGGCAATGGACGCGTCAGGTGCATTTAAACTGCCACCAAGTGTGGCAATGGACATGTCAGGCGTATTACACTCCCAATACTTTGGGCCAACTGTCTGTCTAGGCACAGCAATAATGAGGCATTCTATTCGGGTGAAGATGGCCGTTGGACGGGGGGCAAAAATAAAGGTATGGGCGGCGGAGAACCACATCCAAGGAAGGCAGCAGGAGCGTAAATTACCCAATACTGACCTTCTTTTTCTTTTTCTTTCTTTTCAAATTTGGGCCATGTCTCGATTTATGCGTGTCCTCCTCGGGCAGGGTGCATGATAATCTTCTCTGTATTGTGCCTATGTTTTTTAACGGATGTCCCGAAGGGCAATACTCGCAAAAAATAACAATACCGGGAGAACAATAAGAGAAGGGCAGGTTGTCCTCCCGGACATTCGTTAAACACCGCCAGCACACGGCCCCAGCCTTGCAGAAAGTTTTTTTGTCGCCACAAGCAAAGCTTGCAGGGGCTGCACGGCATGGGGCGCCGTTGGGAAATATGGGTTGAAAGCCATAATTACGCCCCTGCTGGAATCAAGTTCGATCGACCGAAATGTATCTGACCGTACTCACAGGCCAACTTGGATGTATCTGACTGCAATCACATCCAGCAATAAGGAAAAAAAAGTCTTTAGTGTGAGTGAGTTTGTGCCCTCAATGTGGTATATATGGAACGCCGAACAAAGAAGATCATCGCCAAATGGAGTGGTAAATGTGGTGTGCAACTAGGCTGGTTCCCAGGCGGCCGGGCTGGGGGGAAGGTCGCCTGGTTACCCTCCCAAGCGGCCCGGGCCAGGCAGTGGCCGCGCAGGGTCCCCGGCAGCCCCAGCGCATAATATTTTAATATTTTAAAAATTCAAAAATTCAAAAAAATGATAAAAATCTGGAAAAAAAAAATATGTTGTATAAAATTGCAGTACAAGCAACTTTTGGCTCGGGGTCCCCTTGAAATTCCTTATTATTTTTAAGATAAAAAAATAAATGAGGAGAAATGAGGTACGATATACCCTTTTAAACCCCTCTAGTCAGTGTTTAGAGTACCTTTATAGTAAGTTTATACCCCCAAATGCTCCTGGGTGACCCACCACCGAAATGGAAGGTAAGGCCGGATTCTGACTGTGCCCGCCGAGCGCAGTCCTGGCCTGAAGTCAGTTTTTTTGTTTGGGAGATCGTTCCCTCTTTTTTGACCCGGCTGGTTTTGCCGGGCAATCCCCCCTGGCCCAGCTGGCCCGGGCATGCCAGGCCGGGCATGCCTGGCTGGGCGACGGCCCGGCCTAGGTGTGCAACGTCAAACATGACGGCAAGAACCGCACGCATCGAGGAAACCTGGTGCGAAACATCGAACGTAAGCAGAGATCGAACAACCCCTTTTTTTTTTTTTCCCTTTTTTTCCCCTGCATGCAGCTGTAAAGCGTATGTCGGGAAATACAAGTACTTGGAGCGCAAGATGAACATGCACACAGGCAGAAGGGAAAAGGGGAAGTAAACATGCACATGAAGAAGGGAAAAGGGGTCGTATAGAGTCCGGTGTGAAACTTCTTCGAATATAGGCATATAGATCAGACAACTCCCTGTCTTTTTTTCTTTTTTCTTTTTTTGTGTGTGTGTGGCACTGTGTGTGCTGCTCCAAAGCGTCTGTCGGGAAAGACAAGTTCTTGAACCGCAAGATGAACGTGCACATGAAGAAGGGAAAAGGGGGTGTCCGGTGTGAAATGACAACCGCGGAGGAGGCTCTAAGATCGCGGACTGTGATTGTTTTTTTTCTGTTCTGCAAGCAGCTGAAGCGTATGTCGGGAAAGACAAGTACTTGCGCAGGATAAATGTGCACGGGAAGGGGAAGTCCGGCGTGAAACATCGACCGCGCACAAAGCTGACTGTGAAGGTGAGGGAGTTGTCGCCGAAGGAGGAGGCGACCTTAGCGAGATCGCGGTTGGCGCAGCCGCGTCAGGAAACTCGAGCAGCCAGGTTCATTCGGAACCGGCTACAACCGGCGAGAATTGTGGAGGTAGATCCGTCGGGAAGAGAGAGGACAGCAGATGCAGCGAAGCCAAGAAGACCAGCTGCACCGGCGCGGGAAGAAGAAAAGCCAGAGAAACGACACAGGCTGTTGAGACCGTTCTTTTTGTAGAAACTTTTTTAGTTTTCTTTTTTTTTTCCAACCTCCTTTTAACTGTCGTTATGCAATTGTACGAGGAGCAAATCCCCATCGAATCTATCCATCGAAGCGAGCAGAAGAATTCTTTGCATGCGAACGTTCTTCTTCTTCTTCTTCTTCTTCTTTTTTGTTGTTCTTCTTCTTTTTTGTTGTTCTTCTTCTTTTCTCCTGTGTGTGTGTTTCCAATTCCACCCACCATCAGTGTTGTTGTTGTTGTTGTTTTTCTCACTTCGGTGGGAGGAAGCACTTGAGAGGGGGTGATAAGAGCCAGCCCTCTCCCGTGGACCCCTGGGTGAAGGCTCCATCTATTGGTGGGAAGCTGCACCTGCTGGGGAAGGAACCGGGCCCAGCGTCGCAGATATTATAAATTTATAATACAATGCTGCTCCAGCTGGAAACCGGGTCCCGCGTACCATACATTACAATGCAAAGGTAGGTAGGCTTAGTAATTTGGGTCCTGGCCTGCCCCGGGTGAGGGCTCCATCTATCGGTGGGGAGCTGCACCTGCCTGGGAAGGAACTGGGCCCAGCGTCCCAGATATTATAATACGATGCTGCTCCAGCTGGAAACCCCGTCCAGCGTCCCATACATTACAATGCAAAGGCAGGCTTGGGTAATTCAGGGGCCTGGCCTACGTAGTGCCGAAAGAACACCGGCGTAGTGATTCGGGGCCTGGCCTACGTATTTTCTTCTTGCCCACTTCGCCGTTTACATACATACCCTCTCTGTTGTTGCCGTCTGTATACTCCTGGGGCGAGGTCCCACTAGCAGAGAGGATTGGATTAAGCTCCTGCATCTGGAAGTGTTTCGAGAAGAGATGAAGAAAAGCAGTTGAATCTCGATTTTCTGCATCTGTCCACGCAGTGCCACTCGTCTAGATTCACGCGCTCAATCCAATTCTCTTCACTAGTGGAACCTAGCCCCTGGTCCCCTGTTCCGAGTCGGCTTCCATTCCACTCATGCCTCCATTTGTCGACTAACTATCCTTTTATCCTTTCCCTTGCTCTCTCCCTTGTCCCGCCTGTATCCTTTTCCCTTTCTCTCCCTTGTCCCTGTAAGGCTTGTCGTACCGCCGTATCAGGCCCGTATGTATATTTGTATGTTTGTGTGGGATCCTGGGAGGGGCTTCCGCTACCCACCCACCAGGCTTGTTTCAAGCTGTCGGTGTGTTCCTGCTATAGTGCCTATACCCTTTTTTGAAGTTTTTTTTCTGCTGGGGAGGGCAAGATTCACGGGACCGCAGAGCCCCTGTACTGAGTCGGTTTCTCTGGCCGTCCTCTTGGCAATGCCATGTGCAGGTTGTCAAATTGTCAATCCTTTTTTTCCCCGCTTTCTCACATCCCACTTTTACTGGTGGTCTGGTCGAGACCAGACCGGCGGCCACCGGCCATATTCCCTTCCCGCCCTTCGCTGGTGGGTCATTGTTGATAGAGTGTCACGAGGGGGCAGTCCGGCTGGCCTGAAGGGGGTGGAAATCCAGGGTAGAGGAGGAAGGGGGCGGTGTAGGAGTACGTGGCCGGGTGTCCTTTGGAACCGGAGGGGGAGGGGGCGGTGGTGTAAGGGGAGGGGAGGCAGACGGGAACAGAGGGGGCAGGGGGGAGGCACCCGGGAGCTGGTCCCCCGGCAGCGGGGGGGGGGAAAGGTTGGGGGGTGAGGGGTGGAGGGGCGGCCGGAAGTGACAGAGGTGGGGTTGGGGTGAGGGGAAAGCGGGGCCTCTGCGGGCAATGGGGGAGGGGTGGAGGGGTCACGGAAGGGGGGGCTGTGGGGAGAGGGGGCTGCTGCGGGATGGGTGCTTGGGAGGGCTGTGATGTATCTGGGACCGGGGGAGGGTGGTGGGCCACCGGCACTCCTTGAGAGCTTCTGGCTGACAGAGGTGTGGGAAAAAAGCTTTCTGGCTGGCGATAGGCAGTTAAGGCCTTTTCGCTGGTGTGCCCTTGTCCGGTGACGCTGCCAACACTTCCATGAGCCTCCAGCGGGCTTTGAGGCTTGAGCAAAGTTGAATTTGCCGGAATGACCTCAATCACTTCAGCTTCAACTTTACTACTTCAGCTCGGTGGTAGCCGAAGGACCTCGCTGCACTACTCTCGACATGCACAAAAGACAAAAATGATGGCGGTGCATCTTTCCATATTCTAGCGGAAGATTCACTCTCGTTTTGCACATTTCGAGAGTAGTGCAGCGAGGCCCGAAGGCATCATCGTGCTGCTCTGCTGAGCATCTCAGGCACCAGACGACCATGAGGACAGCTAGCGTTATGTGCTTGTGAAGGTTTTTTTTATTTTTATGTGACATCGCGCAGTTTCACCTTTTTTTTTCTTTCTTTTTTCATCACCCAACTTCATTTGCACTGCCCCAGAAGGGCCATGGAAAAAAAAAAAGGGCGACAGCCACAGTTCGCTCTACATGCATGTGCAGCGCAATTCCGTAGGGTGTAGGTTGCGTGCTCAGAGAAGTGCTTTTTATTAGTTTTTAATAAGTTTTTTTTTTTTTGACAACCATGCTGCCACGCTCGGAGGAGTGATATGGGATATGGATGTATCTTACCGGAATTGTGGTCACATCAGGTTCAACTTTGTCCTACTGTGAGCATGCTGGGTTGGTCTTTTAGGGGGTAGCGTCTACTGATGCTATGTATGAGCATGCTGGAAAAGTGGGAACTGGGTCATGAGGTGGGGCCACATTCATGCTACATAGCACACATGCTGGAAAAGTGGGAACTGGGTCGTGAGAGCGNCACATGCTGGAAAAGTGGGAACTGGGTCACGAGGGCGGGCCACATTCATGCTACATAGCACACATGCTGGAAAAGTGGGAACTGGGTCATGAGGTCGGGCCACATTCATGCTAACATAGCAGAAACAAAAATAGCACAGCAATGCAGTGGGTCATAAGCTTGGGCCACATTCATTCCAGCATAGCACAAACATAGCACAAACAAACATAGCACATGCAAACATAGCACAAACATAGCACAAACAAACATAGCACATGCAAACATAGCACAAACAAACATAGCACATGCAAACATGGCACGAACAAACATACATAGCACAACATAGCAGAAGCATAGCACAAACAAACATAGCACAAACATAGCACATAATAGTATAGCAGTGGGCCCTTCTCCTGGCAAGGGCAACACCGGTAGGACTTTCCTGGATGTATTCGACTGATCGCGACTATGGCTATAGCCTGAAGGGCAGGAGGTGCCTGTGGATGCTATGCCCATTCTTAGGAAACATGAACCTACTAGTCATAAGAGGGCATAGATTCACGCTTTGTGAGCATCAACGTAACACGAGCTGGCTGGGCCTGCCTGCACCTCAGTTGAAACAAGTCCTACCATCTTCCCCTGACTTGACAAAGTAGAATTTGATGTACCCGTAGGTACACGAGGAGATTGTTATGATCGTTATTGTGTCCGCATTGAAGAAATGCGACAAAGTCTTTGAATCATTGTCCAGTGCTGGAATCAAATGCCTAGTGGCATGATCAAAGCGGATGATCGTAAACTTTGCTCATTATTGCTGCATCTACTACTTAGATCCAAAGTTGTCCCAAGTACAGCCATAGAGAGCCGTAGGGTCTATTTCAGGGAAAAAACGGCAGTCTTGACTGGTGCTTATTTCAGGGAGATGACATCTGTGCGGTTCACTTTTCTCGGTCTATATTCCTGTCCAACCCCCGAGGCCACCAGATGGGCCGCCCGGGTCACCCTATTTTCCCGGACGGCCCGGCCGTGCAAGGCCCAGGGAAGGTCCTAGCAAAAAAAAAAAGAAAAARAAAAAAAAAAACCGGAAAAAAACTATGTTATGCAGAAAAAAAAAACTGAACAACTTTTGCCTCAGGGTCACATCGAAATTGTTTACCAAAGTTGAAAAAAAAAAACAAAATTAGAATTGTTTTTTTTTTTTTTTTTTTTTTTTTTTTTTT